ATATATCACGATATGTTTAAATAACCTTCAAAAACAATAGAGTGCATAAAATTGCGCTCATAAACTCATTCTAGCTTTTTGTTCCAAATTTAAAGCTTTATTTTAACCAGCCACATTATGTCTTTTGGTGTCAGAATTAGACCTTTTAAAAGATCCCAGCAACCAAACAGGAAACGCCACTAGTTAGACTTCTAGAAAACTTTGCGTCCAGTTGCCTAAACAGAATTTGTCAAGCTTGACATAAAGTGAACTATCATATGGAGCTTTGGAAGCTGTAATAACGGTTTCTCATAACAGATAGGCTGTTTCTTTATTTTGTGATGTTTTTCTCCTTAATTCTTAAAATAAGTTAACAAGTAAACGCAAGAGGCTGCAAAACTGCTGCAGCTCTGTTTTCTCTGCTTAAGGCTGTCAGTTGAAGCTTACAGTGATTTGCACTCGTATATACCTCCAGCCACATTTTATGTCATGTGAGGTATATGGGACTGGATTAAAAAGAACATAAATCTGGTTTTGCCACATCCATTGCACATCTTAGGGTGAGAGGAATGTTTAAATCTTCAAAGTTCTTCTAATATTAGTTAAATAATAAATAAATATTAGTTTATGTTGTTGTTTCTGTTGATATGCTGCACCGTCACTGATAAAAATTAGGCATAGTTTTCAGTAAAAAACAGTTTTTATGCTTATATTTTAAGTGACTATGATACTTAAAGTGAAGTATTATTTACTTCTAATAAAAGTAGGACATGTAGGCCTACATTTTTGACCAATGTGTGCTAGATTCTCTGTCTTGATTAGATTAAATATGTTAAAGTCTGGTTTTGTTTGAGTCGTCCCTTTAGAATGTCTAATGAACTATCTTTGTATGCCTAATCTTTAAAGTTTATTTTCTTAGGGGCTAAAGAGAAGCTACTTTTGTTTTTTTATCTGCTCTGCGACACACATAACTTCCTTCTTTTTTGCTTCTTTGCTAATTAAGCTTACCCCTTATTTCTCTCTTTCTATTTTCTCTATATTGGGAAGCAACACCTCTTATGCAAACATATTGACCTGCTTTGCACTTTTCCACCTGCAGCTGTCGAAGGGAGCTCATCTGGCCCATCGGCCAGGTCTTCTTCACAGACCAGCCGTTTGGGAATCCTTTCAAACTTGGACACTCCAGCACTGCTTTCAACGGTTGCTCTCACTGTCTGCTGGCAAGCAGGAGCGGCTGTGTGCACCTGTCTGCAAGCGAGCTCTGGCTAAGTGTGATGAGTCTCAAGAATGTTGGGGGAATGTTTTCATAGCGCTGACTTGAGGTCCTCAGAGAAGTTTCTCAAATATATGAGAAAATGAGAAACATGTGTTTAGAAACAAAGTTGCTGCCTCCTTTATGCTCATTATATGTCAGAGCATTCTCTTAATTTTACCGTCAGCGTTGCGCTTACATATATACTAGCAAGACCTCTTGGAGAAGGAGCCTAGGTGTCAGTCAAAATGCCAATACTCATAAAAAATGAGCACATCTGCCTTTAGTGTAGTTATGACAGCTTTCTTTGTATCGGCCGGCTGGGCAAGAACTCTGGTTTACTTGAAAAAATATGGAAGATCAAATATAATGTCACCTCAACCTTTTTTTTTAGTTTTTACTGCACTAGTGGCTTGTTTTATCAACAGTAGGCTGACAGGAAAGGGGGTGTGAGAGAGGGGCAGAGACGTGGGGCAAAGGACCAGGGGTCAAATTCGAACCGTGGTTGAACCCCGCGTCCTAGACTAAGGCCTCCTTACTTGGGATATGCGCATTAACCACTGCACCACCTGCACACCCCATGTCACTTCAACCTTTAATGTTATGTTTCACATTTTAGTGGAAAAATACTTCTAAACTGAAATAATCCTATACTGGCAGTTCAGCAACGACACTGCATTTTTATTATCGCTGTCAGGGCAACCACAATGATTTACATCATGTGGCAACCTTCAGCCAATCATTTAGCGTAACGTCAGTGGCATGTGCAGGGCCCGATCAGATCTGACCAACTGAGCAGATCTGGTAGCTAACCCGGCTCTGGGAGGTGCATGTTCAGCATAAAGAGCAAGCTGATAACACCACATTACACAAGGAAGTAGAAAACACAGCTGTTTACGACCTTATCAAAGCCTCTTCCTGCCGTCCGTGTGCGACAGTTGATTTCTTTCCTTGAGTTTTTCCACAATGTGTTGATAGTGGTGATATTTTTGAGCTAAATCATGGGATCACTCTGGATATTTACATTTGCAAACCTGTGCCAGCGGGAGTTGCTGCCTGCTCACCATGTTTTCTGCAAGGTTCTGAAAGGACTGCAAGGACTTTAGAAGGAAAATAGATCTTAAAGGATATTAGATCTTTGGAACAAGGATAAACACATTTTTATTACTTAAGCACAAAGATTTTAATTCCATATACACCATGTTTTTTACCATCTATAGCTGATTATTCTAATTTCTAAATATTTGAACTAAACAGCTGTTTGGATGACATCTTAAAAGACAGAACTAGACTCAGTTTGTTGCATTTGTAATCGGTTCTACTCCACAACATGCAATGTTGTAACAGAGATGACATCTAGATTTAGACAATGGTGACTAGAGGCCATGATTGATTCATTCATTCAGAAATAGAAATCTGGGCATGTCTTGGTGGAGCAGTGGTTAGCTCGCACGACCCATGTATGGAGGCCATAGTGCTCGACCCGGGTTCGAATCTGGCCTGTGGTCCTTTCCCGCATGTCTCTCCCTCTATCTCATACCTACTTTCCTGTCTGCTTACTGTTGAAAAAATTTGCCACTATTGCTGTAAAAACTCAAAAAGAAATAGAAATCCGCCTGACTTTTACAAAAGGCCTGCTATTCAGAGGAAGCAGTCGCTTGGTTTTTAGCTTTTCCTACTTCCTAATTCTCCTAAATGAGAACTTGCAGAGGTCAGTTAGCAATAGAAAAGCAGCATCATCTTTTTTATTCTAAATTTAGTGACAATTTAAAATCAGTAAACAAAACAGCTGCAACCATAATAAGATTAGTTTTCCACTCATCTCGACTCATTCGTATGTAGATTTTGGTTATAAAACAGTCTTTCATCAAAAAGAGCTAATCATATACAAACTTATAAAAAAGTATTGAAACCCTTTTAACGTTTTATTGATGTCCATGTATTTAATTATGATTAAATTATGATGAACACAATATTTAAGTGGAAGCAGAACAGCACATGGCTTTGAGTTCTTTTCCGATATTTGTTTTAAGCGTACCAGAATCCGTATTTTGTAGAACCACAATATGCTGGAATTGGAGCTATTTTTCCTACTTTTCTTTGCAAAAGCTCAGTTAGAATGAACGTAAACAATTTATAAATACATGTTTTCAAGTTGTATTACAGATTCCCATATGGATTTAGATCTGGACTTTAACTGGGTCCTTCAATCGTTGCATGTACGACGAAACCCCAGCGTATAAAAGTTCACAGCTCACCATGTATGTTCTCACACTGAGCAACCCGAAGCTATGATGCGATCTACCTGCACACACTGTACGTCTAAAATCCACGTCGGACTCAGCTCCGCAGTGAGATGGTACTACTCTGACTCGTCTTTCCGGAAGCCAAATGAGTAGAAGAGTAAAAAAACGGAAGTGTTGATGCCTCCTGTAAAATATGAAGCTCACTAGAGTGAAATGCGCTGCCTTGCCAATTTATGCAATTTTGTGCCTAAAGCCCTAAAAAGTAAAGGGCAACAACGTATTTGGACAAAGACATGGGTGAGCAAACATGGCTACTACGGTCTGTCAACTTTACAGAAAGAACTCCATTGCACCCCCGCAATGCTTTTTTGTTTTCGTCTGAGAAGAAGAAGAAGAATCCTTGTTTGCATACGCCCAGTGAGTGATTTGCCCATGACCACCTTATGACTGAATTTTAAAGTTTGTTTGATTTTCTCCCGACCTCATGATTCTTGATCGGTAGGTGGTCATGAGCACGATCAGGCTAAAGTCAACCCGAACGAAAAAGTCTTGCACAGCTTTAGAATCGGCCCGAAAAGGGCAAATAATGTATACAGTGTATGTCCAGCCTAACACATGAATAGACTGTTTATTCATCGAACCCCTTCCTATGTAACTATGGCTTCATGCTTAGCCAAGTTATCCTGCTGTTTTTTTTCCCCACCTCTTTTGCTAACATGATTTCTTTTCAGATTTCCAAGCAATTAACTTCATCTGTCTTTGAATCAGATAAGCTCCTGCAAAAGCAATGCATCCCCAAAGCATGATTCTGCCACCTCTATGCTATGGATGCACTCATATCTGCTCAATATTGACTAATTAGCTGAATCGAATGTCATGATATTGAAGATCTAATCTAGTACACTTTACATGGAACTGTCATTTCTTTATTTTTACTGCCTATCTTTTAATAAATAATATAAAGTAAATGTATATCTGTGTTAATTTGTTATGTTTTTTAACAATGTTTGTCAAGGCTAAAGCCTTCACTTACATGTGATAATATATGGTTAACTCATTCAACAGTTGAATCGGATCGGTATCGAGTATCAGCCGATAAGCTCAGCCCAGGTATCGTATCGGACTGAAAATAACTGGATCAGTGCATATCTACTCTACGCTTAACCATGGCATTAGTGTGTTCAATATAATATGTAGTGTTCGATTGTCTCCACAAGCAGTGCTTTCCATATAGGATGTCATTTTTAGGACCAGAGAACCTTGTTCTACTTGTTTGATGAGTCCTTTACAAGATTAGAACTTCTTAGACCTCTTTTCTGGCCAATCCTCCATAAAAGTCACATTTGTGTATAATGGATATTTCATTACACCAAAATAGCAATGTTAACACAGAAATACAGGAACTAGAAACAGCTATATGTTTATTTGGCAGCTGGTAGTGAAGAGCTTGGGTCGACAATGAAGGGTGAGAAAGGAAAAAGAAGGTAGTGGTGAAAGCGAGGGTTTCTTCTGTGATAACTCACCCTGACAAAGTTATCGGGGAAGAGACCCCTGCGTCCGCCCAGCTCGCCCTCCCACCAGCCTCCGTCATCCCGTCGAATGTTCCTGATGATGTCACCCACCGTCAGGGTCAACTCGTCGTCCTGCTGAGCCTCATAATCGAACTCCACCACGGCCTCCACTGTGCACACAGGAAGACAAATAAGTAAAACCAAATAAAAAACATATTGTTCTACTTTTTCAGAGGGGGGTTAAGCGAGCCATTGTGTATTTTATCACTTAATCTCAAAATGAAAGAGGAGCATTTTCAAATCACAGTGCTAAAAGTTTCTAATCCGTCACCTTTGACACTTCAAAGAAGTAAACCTGCTTGATGCTAATTAAGTTCTCAACATTTGGAAAAAGCTGCATTATCTTTCCATATATGGGAACATTTGTTTGGTGCTTCTTCTTATCTCTGACGACGCTCACAGCATGTTGTACAACCTGTCTTTACCACAAAGTGAAATGAAACTTTATTAGGTCGAAAACATAATAGATTTAATCTCAGTGACATTAGCAGTTAGAGACAGAGATACACAACCATATTCATTCATCTTATCATTGTGACATGTGCTAAATTTAAAGTTGCGCAAAAAAAAGGGGGAAAACATTATATTAACCGTAAATATACAACTTTGAGATTAATCTCTTTAAAAAAATACTAGTTGCATTAACCCTATTGAGTTGCATTTGCAGGTGTGGTAAAAAAAAAAAAATTGGTATTCCTCATGTTAAAAAAATACACAATGGTAAATTGTAAATAAATTAAATCTGATAAATATTAATTATAAAAAATTATATCAAAATTATCAAATGAAAGTCAGACAATGTCTTCAGCAATGATTAAACAATATGATTTAAAATGAAATAAACGAATGAAACAGCCCTAAAAAAAAAAATGATGGTACCCTGGTCAATATCTTGTTGCACAACCTTTTGAGGCAATAACTGCAATCAAACGGTTCCGTAACTGTTAATGAAACTTCTGCTCATCTCAACAGGTAGTTTGGCCCACTCCTCATTATCAAACTGCTCCAGTTGTCTCAGGTTTGACGGCTGCCTTTTTCCATAGATGATCAATAGGGTTTAGGTAAGGGCTCATAGAAGGCCACTTAAGAATAGTCCAATATTTTCCTCTTAGCCATTATTGGGTGTTTTTAGCTTTGTGTTTTGGCTCATTATCCTGTTGAAGTCCCATGACCTGAGATTTAGACCAAGCTCTCCGGGACTTGGCAGCACATTTGTCTCTAGAATCACAGATGAAGCAGAACATAACAAAGCCTTCTCCGTGTTACAGTAGGGGTAGTGTCATTCTCTTTATATGCTTCCTTTTTCTGTCTGTAAACATGGAGTTGACATGGTTTTGCAAAAGTTCATTTTCTTGGCCTGTCAACATACATTGTGGCAAATTGTGACATGGTTCAGTTATGAAATACATTTACCAACAAACATTTGCTGATTTACAATTTTTGACAGATAAATTCCCACGGCTTTACTATTTTAAGAAGTATTGCTTCTATTACTCGAGTAAAATCACTGGCCTCTCTACCCACCATAACTAACTTCTGTAGTTTACCAAATGAAGACACCAGCATATCTACCAAATGAAAAACTAATTTTAACCAAAAATGAACCAGACACTTAAAGTTTCACAAAGATTTGTATTTTTTAACAAGTTTTGTCTTTTTAATATTAGTATGTGCTGACCCTGTTGTGACATACAGTATTTATGGAGATTAGGAAAAGTATAAACCTTTAATTGAGCTATTTTAACCTGCTCTAACAAATATAAATCAGAAACTGTCAGGATTGGTTTAATAAGTGTTATGTAAAAAAAAATAATAATATAAACTGGAAGCTGCATGAGTTTTCTTAAATTATTTTCTCACCTGTACTTTTTTTAATACCAGTGTTTGCAAATAACTTTATATTTTGGTCTTCCTGTTTGCATAACCTGAAATAAATCAGGTCATATGGTCTGTTACTCAGTTCTTGAACAGTCTGCTTTACCAAATACTATTTTACTGTCACTTGATTATTTTTTTCCACATGGTAATTTTCCTTTTTACTTGATTAAGACTAAGCTGAAGTAGTTCTACTCTTACTTGGATATTTCCCACCTCTGATAAGTATTCTAGTTCCTCACCAGAAACCATTGTACATAAAAATATGGGTTAGATAAAATTAGGGGAAGCCACATAAAATCTATTTTTCTATTTTGATTTCCTTGAAAAGTTATTACAAAAACCTTTAACCCTTTCCCTCACATTTCCTTTATGAACTATTTTACTTTAGCTGCAATTTTTTATAGAGATACTGAAAAGAAGCAACAAGGACCAGACCTGTAATAGACACATTCAAAGAGCTACAAATTGAAGCTAAATGAAACTTTCCTATTTGAAACCTCATGGAATATCTTATGTGTCTAAACCTGTCATGTTGAAGTGAGTTTTGTTCGCTTTTGATGCAATAATACAAAAAAATTACTTCATTTACAGATTGATACTTTTTTGATGCCAAAAACTTGCTAACAATCAAACTTCTACACAAAAAGTTGACGACTTTTTGCAAGAAGGAACATGAAACATTCTTTTGTTTAAATTTGAATTACATTAAAAATTATTTCCATTAGCCATGAGTGCCTGCAAATCTAGTATTATTACATGAGAAGTTAGATTCTTAGGTTCTGCTGAAGCTTTATAGTGTGCAAACAAACAGGGGAACAAAACATTGCAAATGTTAAGGTTTAATGTAATAATTTTTGTTTACAGCTGGTTTAATAAATCATAAAAGAAGGTTTTTTTCTGTTCAAATACGTGGTTTTTGATCATGTCTACTACAGTTGGTCATACGATTCAATAATTAAAGCACAATTAAATCTTATATTAACTTGTTGGTGTTGTTTTTTTTTTTTACTAAATTCAACTTTTAAATTGTCCATGCAGCAAAAATTATTAAAGCTATTGATAGCATTTTAGCTAAAACATACAAATGTTTAAAGTCCACTTTGAGCAAACTGTTCTTTTTCATACCTGGTTCAATAAGAGGCTTATCCTCATTCCTCTATAGTTTTTTTTTTATTATTATAACAATTTTATCAACAATGAAATAACTGCAATTAAAGATCACTCTATAAACCCATAAAAATGATTTCATAATTTACATTTGGCAAAAAAATATATATTCATATTTAGTGGAATTAAAAGGAAAAAAAAGCAAACATTAATTTAGTTGGACAAGAGTTAAAGTTTACCAGTATTCCAACAACCAAGTGCAAAGACAGAAACAGTTATTTTCAGACTAAAACCTTCAGAATAATCCCAGCTGAGGAGGAACTATGTACAATATTCACAAACACATACTAGAAATTTTCTTTCAACTCCCCAAGTTTAACAGGAGGAAGGAGCAAAAAGCCTACCTAATATTCCACATGCCTAAAGGCTGTAACTACGTCCTAAAATTAGTGAAAAGAAAAAAAAGATCAAACATTTTTTATAAACAGGTTAAATTAAGAAAGCAAATCAACTGCTGCAGTGCTAATAAAAGAGACCAGAAAAGAGGATATGCACCATTGTGTTTTGATGACTACACATCATATTTTCCTATCAAACCCAAATAGTTTTAAGTTTTTTTAGGCAGAATTTAACTTTATGTTAACCTCTTAGGGTCACTGTTCTTCAAATAAAAATGAAAAATGCAACATGATAAATGAAATAAAACAATACCATCCATAATATATTTCATAAGAAAACAAGATTAAACTTGTGGTTTTCTAAAAACATCTTTCTGGTAGGTTTTAACAAATAAACATATCTGCTTTTTTAGGCTTAAATCTGCGCTTGACTCCTCTATCCACAAGAACAGGCTAATAAAGGTCACCTTTCAGGTTTACCCAAGATGGATATCCTTAATGCAATAATCTCTCTGTTCAATGCAGTTTTCTGTTTATTGATGTAAACAACATTCATCAAAGAATCTCCTTGGATTTAGAGCTTGATGTTTCAAATAACACTGCTTTGTGGTGGATTCTTTATAAAGCCTATGAATTCCTGTGAGATTCACAAGATAACAATTATAAAATAATCCATCTTTCAAGGCTTCAAGTTTAAGGATTGGAAGCCAAGATGCTGAAGGGTTAAATGTACAAGAGACAACTTAAAGAGCATGCATGTACACATTGCTGTGAATTCCTGTGTGAAACAAATGTTCATTTTGCTTTTTTTTTTAAACCTCTTTGTTAAGAGGTGATTGTGAAAAGACGAAGTGAGTCAATCAGTGTTTTTAGAAATACCCCTTTCACATTATATTTATCCACCCTTTGTTTCATCGACCTAACAAGATGAAATACCGTCAGAAAATAAAGCTTTAACATTGTCTTACTAGGCTTTTGACCCTCTAACATACACAATTTTATCAACCCCTAATCCAGGATTTAACACGAGCACTTCCACTCTCACACACCATCTATACTTTAGATTGAGTCAGTCTACTGGTGCAACGGCATAGACACAATAGTTAATCAACTACTACAACCCTGCAATAGCCCAACGTCAGCTCAAGCTATGCTACGGTATGAGAAGAGAAAAACGTTTTGTTTAACAGAAGGTTTCATTCTGGTCCGGACATTTTATATTTGAATAAAACTTGCATTTCTTATGTATGCAGAGACCGAACACATAAAATGTAACCATAACAACAGAAAATTAGTGGAAAAGAACCTAAGCTAAAAAAGACTTCCTGAATATTAAAGTGTAAAAAATGAAATTTAAGTAAATACATTTTTCTTAAAAGTGCATTTTTTCCTTGAATTCAGGAGGTAAATGCAACATCTTGCTAATGGAGTATCTAAGAAAGAAAAAAAAATTTCTTATTTTAAGTGTATAAAATATGATTATCCTATTTTAGGGGCAAAAATACCAATTCCATTGACAAAACATCTTATTGGACGGAGGAAATGGTTTTAGGCTTCGTTCACACAGCAGCCTGAAATGAACCAAATCTGATTTTTTGGCCCATATGCGACCTGTATCTGATCTTTTCATGACAGTCTGAACAACACAAATCCATTTTTTCCAATGCGACCCAGGCCACTTGGCTATGGGGTCCTGAATCCAGTACAAATCTTATATTTTCAAATGC